TGAGACAATTTATAAAAAGCTTTGCCAAGACATACGTAAAATATATCCACAGCATTGCCCTCAAATATGAGTTCTGTCATCCTGTCAAAATAGGAAGTGAGGTTAGTCTGGCATAACCTGTTCATGGTAAAACCATGTTGGCTGTTAGTAGTCATGCTCCCCTTTTTAGCTGTGTTAGTCAACCATCTTTTTAATGATCCTTTTTAGAATTTTCCCAGGAGTTGAGATCAATCTCACTAGTCTATACTTTGTAGACTCTTTTGAAAACTGGAACTTCGATCTCATTACCTCTTATACCTTGTTATACCTCAATACCTCTTCCATTTTCCATGATCTAAAATAATTTTCAATGACGGTCCCTAGTAATTACACTTACAAGTTCTTTTAGTACCTGAAGTGAAATCTAATCTTGGCCAGGTGATTTGAATTCATCAAGGACAGCTACATTATTTAGAGTGTTAGTGTTACTGTGCATCATGTTCTTCTAGTTCTACTTACTTACCCTGAATCAATTCATACAAGCCTTCCCATATTTCTCTGAATTCTTCATAATAATTGTTTTTTATGGCACAATAATATTTGATTACATTCATATATTACTGTTTTTAACCATTCTCTCCAATTGGTGGGCACACCCTTAGAATTGCCTCATTTTTTCAGTTTTTTTTTATTGCAATATCATTGCTTAAAGATAGTCATGAGGAGGAAAGATACTTGTGGAGGTTAAGAGCAAGCTGCCACGTTCCTATCTGCTAGTCTTTATCATTGACAAATAATAATGGCTAACATTTATTTTATGCTCTAAGGTTTTCAAAGCATGTTATATACATTATCTTGTTTGATTCTCACAGCAGCCTATGAAGTAGGTACTACTATTATCCTCATTTTACAGATGAGGAAACTGAGGCTGAGAGAGTTTCAGTGATTTGCCCAGGATTACACAACCGGAAAGTGTTTTAGGAAGTATTTTAAGTTCAAGTCTTCCTGAATCTAGATCTAGGTCTCTACCCACTATATCACTCTAGCAGCCAGGAGTTTGCTTTCAGGAGCTTGCTTTCAGCTTCCTTTATGCTGGTTTGCAAGTAGCAGTGGCTGAAGTGGAGTAGTTAGTGGTGCTGTCTCAGAATAAAGGACCAATCTTGAGTGAGAGGACAGCTGTACTCTAATAGCTTAGTTCTGTCTTTGTGGGTGATGGTGCTTTATTAATGAATAGATAACCATTCATAAAAAGGGTGGCAGTGTGTCCTGCAAATCTGATAATTCCCACCATATGGAAGCAAAATACACCTTCTAGGATGCTCTGCAAGAATGAGAACTTGCATTTCTATGGTGCCTTATAACTGCTTTTTAAATTTTTTTAATTTTTTTTTGTCTTATAACTCCTAAATGGCACTCTTATGAGCTTCCTCACAACAGTCCCATGAGATAGGTGGTATTTGTAGACCTTATACCCCAGATGAAGATCAGATGGTTCAGGTGTTGTTGTTGTTGTTGTTTTTTTTTATGGTGACTCAACTAATGAGGTATAGATTCAAACCCAGATGTCCTGCCTCTAGGTATGGAACTTTTCTCACTATATAGCACAGTCTCCTATAGCATTCCTACCTCTGAGAATCATTTAGGGCCTCGCACAGAATTGGCACTCAATAAATATTTGGTGGATGGATGAATGAAGATGATATTTCTGACAATAGAAGATGTTGTAGAATGCCATGGTCTCACTGAATAGAGACATTACTGCATGTGCACCTATTTAGAGAAATGTGTAGATTACTTTGGTCCTCCCAGTCCTTCACCAAAAAATTACTGATATGTATGTAATACGTTAAAATTTGCAAAGTATGTTATATACATTATCTCATTTGAGTTTTGCACAGTCCTGGGAGTTAATATACATGGCTATCCACATTTTATGGTTGAGAAAATGGAAACTCAGAGCAGTTAGATGACTTACTTAATGTCACATAGCTAGTGATGAGATTTGAAGCCAGGTATTAAAACCTCTTTCCATTATGAAGCATTACCTATCCTAGATGATACCATGAAACTTTTGGCCAAGACCTGAATATATATTGGAATGTTAGAAGCAGCCCTTCTTAGGGCATTCTACTTGGAAGATATGTAGGCTAGAAAGTTCATCAGAATGAATATACACCATTCTGTTTGTTTAATAACTTGATGGTGTGGAGTTCCCTAATTAGGCCTATGTAGGTTTAATGATGCTTTATGTAAGGTCCTTACACAGAGGGCAAAGAAATTATTCTCCTCTAAGGTTTCTAAGCCACATTTACCTTGCCTTGCATAATTGACCTGACTTGTAATAGCTTCCTTTTAATAATACAGGAAATCTCTTAAACTGCACTTGGAGTTTTAGCCTCTCATCTCGCCTCCCCCACAACTGTCAGGGAATTCATCTTTCTCCAGCAATGATTTTAATTCCCTCATTTCTAAAAGGCTTGATGCTAGCCTCGAACTACATTTCCTTGTTACTGTTCCAAAATTGAATTCACTTGACAGGGGATTTGACTTGGGATTGTTTTAGTAGATTAGTTCAGTTAATTATTGTAGGAAAATGGGATTAGAGAATAAAAGTGGTGGTCTGGAGTGCAATTTTGGATAAAAATGCAGTGATTTAGAGCCAAAAGAAACCTTGAAGATCACTGAGTTCAACCCCTTTATTTTACAAAGAGAAAGATGAGGCCCAGAGAAATGTAGTGACTTGCCCAAGGTAACATGAGTGGGAGGTGGCAGAACCAGGACTCAAAGCCAAGGTCTTCTGATTCTCATTTGATTTTCATTAGCTCTCAGTTAATCCTCAAAATAGCCCCATAAAATGGGGCAGCTAGGTAGTGCAGTGGATAGAGCACCAGGCCTGGAGTCAGGAGGATCTCAGTTTAAATCCGGCCTCAGATACCTACTAGTTGTGTGACCCTGAGCAAGTCACTTGACCCCAATTGCTTAAAAAAAGAGCCATGCAATAGGCAGAGCAAATATTACAATCCCCATTTTATAGTTGCAGAAATTATGACAAGAGACTTGCTTAAAATATGTAGCAACAGGATACAACTGGGTCTTTAATCCTAATTCTCCTACTCCATGTTCAGTTTCCTTTCCTCTGTAACTCCAAGGAAAAGAGAGTTTTAGGAAAAAAAAGGTAGGGGGGACATTCATATTGGGGAAATTAGAGAAAGAGAGAGAGAGACAGAGAGACAGAGAGAGAGAGAGAGAGAGAGAGAGAGAGAGAGAGAGAGAGAGAGAGAGAGAGAGAGAGAGAGAGAGAGAGAGAGAGAGATTTGCTAACAAGCCAGGTAGCAAAGATGTAATAGTCAAGCACAAAAGAGGCTGGTGCCATACCTAGGGGAGTTAGGTAGTGCAGTGGATGGTATCTTTGATTTCATCAGTATGAGTACTTTTGTTATCAGTGTTTGGGAGGCTCCAAAGTAAAGTGTGGGAGAGCAAGAGGTATTATACTGACTAACAACCTGAAAGTCTACAGAATCACTGTGCTGACCTCATTGTTGTATGCCTGTGAAACCTGGACAGTCTACCAGCGCCATGCCAGGAAACTGAATTGCTTCCTTTTGAATTGTCTTAGGAAGATTCTGAAGATTACCTGGCAAGATAAAGTACTGGACACTGAGGTCTTTTCTCTAGCTAAACTGCCAAGCATTCAAACTCTACTATAGAGAGCACAACTGCAATGGGCTGGCCGCGTTGTTCGGATGCCAAATGTATGTTTGTCTAAAAGACTATTTTGCAGAGAACTCACACAAAGCAAGCATTCACATGGAAGTCAGAAGAAGCGATACAAGGATACTCTCGAGGTCTCTCTGAAGAACTTTGTAATCAAATACATGTCATAGGAGACACTGGCAAAAGAGCACCTAGCATGGCATGCCTATGTCAAAGAAGATGCTGTGCTCTGTGATCAAAGCAGAATTGCAGCAGCTCAAAAGAAATATGAGATGTGCAAATTTAGAGATAGCTCCACTCCAAATGTTCACATGGACTATTTGTGCCCAACCTGTGGTAGAGCCTTTTGAGTTCATATTGGTCTGATCAGCCTCGGTTGGACACATCGTACCTTGACTCCAACATAGTGATGCCATTTTGATCTTCTTTGAGAGTGAAGGACAACAGCCCACCCAACTGAGCGGAGATTTGGATTTGTCAGCCATAACTGGGTACCCCGCGGGAAAGCAAACCCTTTAAAAAGATAAACTGGATAAGGGAAGTTGCATTAAGTGACCTTTATGGTTCCTTTCAGCTCAAAGATTTTCTGATTTAATAGATGAAATCTGGTGCTAGACAAATGTGCGCCGTGGCCACCAGGGTCAGGCAGAGGTTCATTCTCTGTGCACTGGACTATGCAGTGGCTTTAGTTTTTTATGGTCTCTGAATGTTTGGCTCCATTACTAGTCTCTAGTCAGCCCTAATCTGCCTGTGTGATGCATCTGTGTCTCTGCTGGTGCCAGGGGCATGCTGGGAAACTCTCTGGTGTTAGCCAAGCACACCTGCTTTTCAAAGCCTGCCAGTCCCTTTCTGCTGCTCACTGCTGGGATGGGCCATTATCTCCCTTCAGGCCCAGGGTGCCTGCCATTCTCTTTCAGCATAATAAAGAAGGCTTTCTTTTTCTTCCTTTCTCTCAGTTCTTGGATGTTTGCCTAGATTGAAAGAGATGAGGAAATATTACAGAATCATAGAATCTCAGAATTGGAAGGCACCTCAGAAATCATCGAGTCCAACCACTCCTGAACACTTGGGACCTGTCCTCCATATAAAAATCCTGTTTCTCTGGTTGCATTTAGTAGTGTCCTTTAGCAGGACCAGATCAATAACAGTAGCAGCTCAAATGAATGTAGTGCCTGATAACACAAGGCATTTTCTGTGCATTGTTTCATTTGATTCTCACAGCAACCATAAGAGTTACATACTATGAATTTTATTACCACCATTTTACAGATGAAGAAATGGAGGCTCAGAGAAGTGAAATGATTTACCTGAGGCCATGTAAGTGGTAGAATCAGGAATTGAATCCAGCTCTTCTGACAGCAAATTCAGGGTTCTTTTTACCGTCCCATGACACTCCCTATGAATGGTGGGGAGGAAGGAGTCAGTAATATGGTTCTAGGGGTGTGTATTCAAAATTCAATTATTTCAGTGGGGAGGGTTAGGGGCTAGAGAAAGAATGGCCTAAGGATAAAGTGATGCCATAGGACAGAATACTAGGATGGGGACTGGGCTATGAGAAGGCAATAATGGGCATTTGGAGAGGGAAAATGCCAGAGTGGAGGCAATTGGACTGAAAGATGAATGCATAACTTTGTCTCCTACAAAATTTGCAGTATTGATATTTTCTGTATAATGGAGCATCTAAGATTCTATGCACTCTGGGATTGGGTTCCTTTGTTGAAAAACCTCAGAGGCAATATGCTATAGTAGGTAGAGGCCAAGAACTGGAATTAGAGGAAATTTGGGCTTAGATCTGACCCATAAGAGTTCTTAGGTATGTCATCCTTAACTCCTCACCATCTCATACCCCTCCCCCCACCATATTCAATCTGTTACCAAGGCCTGTCAATTTCACCTTTGCAACATCCCTCAGATATGTTCCCTTCTGTCTTCTGATGTTGCCGCCAATCAGGTGTAAGCCTTCCTAAGCTCATGCCTAGACTATTTCAATAGACTGCTGGTGGGTTTACCTGACTCAAGTCTCTTCCCATTCGATTCCACCAAAATGATTTTCCTATCCCCTCTAATATCAAATTCAAAATCCTCTGGTGTTCAAAGTCCTTCATAACCTAGCCACCTCTTCTTACATCTCACTCCCCACCACACACTCTTAGAGCCAGTGACACTGGCCTCTTTGCTGTTCCACAAACAAGGATGCTTCTCTTGACTCCAGACATTTTTTTCTTGCTGTCCTGCCTCCCTGGGATACTTTCCTTCCCCTTCTTCACCTCTTGGCTTCCCTGGCTTTCTTTAAGTTCTGATTAAAATCCTGTCTTCTACCTGAAACCTTTCCCAACCCCTCTTAAATCTAGTGACTTCACTCTCTTAATTATTTCCCACTTAGCCTACATATAATTCATTTGTATGTGTTTGTTTTTTGTTGTTGTTGTCGTCTCTGTCATTAGATTATGAGTTCCTTGAGATCAGAGATTGTCTTCTGCCTCTTTTTGTATCCACAGAACTTCGCACAGTGACTGGCACATAGTAAGCACTTAATAAATGTCTACTGACTAACTGATTGATCTTATCAAATTTGTGAATGACCATGGTGGAAGGGATAACTAGTATTCTGGATGAGAGTCAAAGTTCAAAGAAATCTTAATAGACTAGAGCAATAGGCTAAATCTAATAGTATTTAATTTAATAGAGAGAAATGAATGGGTTTGAATATCCAACTATTCTGTTTAGCCATTTTTTTTCAGTCGTGTTTGATTCCATGACCCCATTTGGGTTTGTTTGTTTGTTTGTTTTTTTTCTGGCAAAGATGATGAAGTGGTTTGCCATTTCTTTCTCCAGCTTATTTTACAAATGAGGAAACCGAGGCAAGCAGGGTTAAGTGACTTGCCCAGGGTCACACAGCTAGTAAGTGTCTGAAGCCAGATTTGAACTCATGAAGACAAGTCTTCCTGATTCCAAGCGCAGTGCTTTATTTACTTTGCCACCTAGCTGCCTGCCCAGGGTCACATAGCTAATAAGTGTCTGAGGCCAGAACTGAATTCAGGAAGATGAGTCTTCTTGACTCCAGGCCTGGCACTCTATCCACTGTGCCACCTAATGGGCCAAATATTCAACTATAGTATATACAGTATCTATTTATTTATCTATCTGTATGTATGTATGTGTATACACACATACAGACACATATACATATGTATATTATATATGTGTGTGTGTGTGTATATATATGTATATATATGTATATATATATGTATATATATATATATATGTATATAGATAGATAGATAGATAGATAGATAGATAGATAGATAGATAGATAGATAGATAGACAATAATCTGAGTGAACAATAATCTGAGTGAAAAATAATCTGAAGATTTTAGTGGCTCTGAATGAGTAAACAATGGAAAATGATTGTAGTTCAAAAAAAGTCTATGATATTTCAGGCATCATTAAGAGAAGCAGGGTAACTTCACTCTACTCTTTGCTGGTCAGAGCATCTCTGGAATATTGTGTTCAGGTCTAGGTGTGACACAGATGAATGATGACAGAGAACACAGTAAGAAGATGAGAACAAAATGGTTGGAGGGTAGAAGGTTATATGATATATTGCTCAGTGCATGGGATCGGGATTGCTTCAAAGGCTTACTAGAGGGCAGGGGCCATATAACTGCCTTTAAGTATTTTAAAATAATCTTGTTAAAGAGGGACTTGCTTTGTTCTGCTTGGCCCCAGAAGGAAGAAATAGTAGGGGTAGGTAGAAGTTGTAGAAAGGCAGATTTAGGTTGAATAGAAGACAAAACTATTGGAGCTGTCTAAAATAGAGTGGACTGTCTGCCTTAATGACTGTTCTAGAGGAGGCTAGATGACCATTTGTCAGGGTTGTTATAGAGCAGATTCTTTCAGGGCTAGATTGAACTAGATAATCTCTAAGATGCTTTCCAGCTTTTGTGACCTTGAATTTACCCTCTCTCATTGTGACCCCTTTGCTTCCTTTATTCTACTTTATGACTCTTTCCAAATTATAAAAGAATTAATACTAATGCCTAACATTTATTATAGTGCTTACTATATCCAGGCACTGCATTATTTTATATCTCATTTGATCCTCACGACAACCCTGGGAGGGAGGTGCTATTATCATCCCCATTTTATAGATGAGGAAATTAAGACAAAGTGGGATTAATTGACTTGCCCAGGCCCATCAATAGTACGTGTCTGGACTATATGAATAAAAATAAACCAATGCCTCCATGACAATAACTTCAAACATCTACTTGGTTATCCTTTGGGGATGATGAATAACTTCAGTGGATTCTTGTTACCCGTTGACCTCTGAAAGGACTAGAAATATTCTTTCTCATCCATTAGTAATTACATATGCAACAGACCAAGATCTATGGCCAGAACCAAGTGATATAGTTTCTTAATGGACCTGAAACTTGTTCAAAGTAAATAGCTTTCTATGGAATAGATTTCCACAGACAATTATTGCAATAAATAATAAACAAAAAGGGTAGCCAGTTTTTTCTTATGGTATTTGGGGTTTTGAGTTGATGAAGGTACCTTTAAGACATGATTTTAAAATAATCTCTTTGAATTCATATCCATAACGACATTCAGATAAATATTTCTCTTTCAGCTGCTTGAGCTAAATTTAACAATACATTTCCACTAAATGGAGACAAATAGCTGCCTCTTTGGGGTCAGGAGAGAATGGTGTGAAGAACACTTAAACTCTAAGTCAGGAAAGCAATTTCCTCTCTCTGGATCTTAATTTCTTCCTCTGTAAAACTGAAAAGTTGGATGAAATAATCTCGAAAGTCCCTCCTCACTCCAACATTCAAAGGTCTATATTCTGCCTTTTACTGTGATTTCTGATGTTCTGTGTTTTGAAGCCCTTTCTAGCTCCAACACTTTTATGTTCTGTGTCCCTGTCCAGATCTTCTTCTTCTGCTCTAAAGACTTTCCCCCAGTTATTTGTATTCAGCATTACCACAAATTAAAAGAACAGTCTTGGTTAAGAATTTCATTATAGAACTCCATATCAGAGTTCTTCTTTGAACAACTACTTTGGACACTCTAAGGAAGTATCATAGGGTCATAGACTTTGAACTGGAAGAGACCTCAGAGTTCATCTAGTAGCCTGAGGAAGATAGCATTTGGAAGACATCTTATTTCAAACCTCCGCTCAATAAATGGGCCTCTAACTATTTCAGCACCAGTGAAATTACATGAACCAAGATGGTGGCTTTAAGCTAACTGCATAATGTCCTCTATGTAGCCTGGAGTTTGTCAGAACGTATCAGACCATATTGACCTTTACTAAGAAAATTCTGTCTACAAAATAATCCTTGTGTGATATTTAAAACTAATGTTACAAGAGGAAAAGAAAATCAAGTGAGTACAAAAGCCTTTGAATTTTTTAATTGAGAATAATAGCAAATAAATCTGGAACAAGAAAAATTCCCCAAGCAATGTGTTTTTTTTCCCTTTCTAAAGCTGCTGCATCATTTTCATACTCTCAGTTTAGAAAAAGGAAAGATAAAGTTCTTTGTTTATTGTGTAGTTATCTCTGTAAAGGAAAGTTCCCCCCTCCCCCCAATATACATCCACTCATCAACCATTTAGCTGTTAACAAACAGAGATAATGGCCACTGGGAATTGCGAAGCGAGACTGAGAGTCAGCTCTGAAAAATGAAATCAGGGAATAATGACTCACCAAAGTGATCTTTTCAAAAGAAACCGTGGCAAATTCTGGGATTTGGAAATAAATTTTCTTAGATTCAGTAAAAATAAGATGAAAAATGTAAGAGAGATACTCTGCCTAAAAAGGTATTGATTTTGTTGATACTTCTGCCTGCATAACACCCTTTCTTACCTCAAGGTTTACAAAGCACTCTCTTGAGATTACCCATAATGTAGGCCCTACAAGGGTATCCCCATTCTATAATATATAGATGAGGAGGGCAACTAGGTGGCACAGTGGATAGAATGCTGGGCCTGGAGTGAGGAATAATCATTTTTCTGAGTTCAAAGCTGGCTTCAGACACTTACTAGCATCATGACCCTGTTTGCCTCAGTTCCTTCATCTGTCAAATGAGCTGGACAAGGACATGGCAAACCATTCCAGTATCTTTGGTGAGAAAACCCCTTAAGGGGTCACAAAGCGGTCATGACTGAAACAGCTGAACAATAACATATAGATGAGGAAACTGAGCTATTGAAAAGTGAAGTGACTTGGCTAAAGTCATGCAGAAAATAAATGACTCAAACGCAGGTCACCTGACTCACATACCAATGTTCTTCATTAGTTCACTTTCGTGTCTTAGCACTAGGCACTACGGATGCAAAGACAGGCTAGGTGATAAAATAGAATGCTTTTGTATCAGTCTCTTAGGGTTTCAGGCTCAACGCTTGAAATGTAATGGAGCTCGACAGTGGTCTTTTCCACTGCCCCTACTGTGTAACACCAGAAAAGGTATTATAGTAAGTCTCCATCCATTGGCATTTTTACGTCTACTGGTGACTTGGTCTTTCACCTAGGCCTGTAAGACACCCCACTCTCTGAGTATGGCTCCATCATTCTTATTCCCATACTAACTGGTTTAAGCTTCCAGAGAAAAACCACTACCACATAATTACATTTAAACTCCCTTAGGGTCCTAGAGATAACTCATTTGAGGGGAAATATACTTCCCCTCCTTACCATTCTAGTTCCTGAGCCCACATTCAATGTATTTTCTACCCATGAAACCAGATACTCACAAGGTGACATATACACAGTGTGTGACATTTACATCGATGGTGTCAAACTGAAATAGAAATGGGGCCACCAATTTGTACATAAGGATCCCTGCCCAGCTCATATTAACTGAATTTTAAAATGTAATGTTATCACTTTTATTTTATTTTTATTTATCTAGAAACTGTTCTGTTCAATTACTTTTTAAATCAAAACCCAATCTTCAAATATTTATGACTTCCAATTTTCTTAGTTTTACACTCTTTAGTCATACAATGCATATGTGCGTATTAGGGAAGATATCCATCATGCCTCAGCTGGGAAATCTCTAACAAGGCTATCCATCTTTGGTACTCTTGAAACTGTGTTTCTTCACACTTACAATTATCTATTTTAAAAATGTATTAAAAAAAGATCTTTCTCTTAATAATGTTAAATGGTTACGATCCAATCAGGGCATCACTCCACATTGTTAACAAAGAGACCCAAGTCCTTAAATCTATACCACAAATCATTTTTTCTCCCCAAATGTCCAAAATCTTACCTGAAAGCTGTTTTTTTCATACACATATTTTCATACACATATAATAAAGTTCTTTTTCTGCTTATATTAGACACAAAAATGTTCAACCATAATAGCAGCACTATCGTTCATCACTTGATACTTTCTCTTCCCTTTTCATCAACTGCTTCTTATAAAAGAGACTTACAAAGACACTGTACCTTTCAAGAAAGTTCTCATTGTCTGATGTAGCAGATACAGCTAGAGAAGATGTAGGAATTTGGATTCTATACTGGAACTAAGATTTATACTTACAGATCAAAGGATTTGTGATCTCTTACCTCAGGTTTTCCCTTTGCTAATGAAGATTTCAGTGAAGATTATGTAATGAAGATTACCTCCTCCTCTCCTCTTAAAGCTATGCATTTGTAAAGCTTTGTGCTAATTATACAACCAACTTCTCTGTCATATATTCCCTTTGTGGTACTTCTTTTACATGAGTCATCATTGCCAATATGCTTCCAGCTGCTCATATCAGTCTTGAATCTTTTTTCTCACCATTTGGCTTACTTGCAACTGGGATTTTTTCCTGAGATCTTAGTGTCCTGTGTTTCACAGTCTTCAAGAATTTTATGAGTCTAAGGGAGGGGTGATTAATTTATTCAACCCTGCCCCAATTAAAATAAGTGATAAAATGCCCAATTAATCAAACTCGAATAATAGGTCTTATAACAAAAATACGAAGTACTTCTGAGTTGAATAAGAATTTTATCCCTAAACTGAGGAAACTTGCCTTTGCCCTAAGAATTACCCATGAATTATTGAGAAGAGATTCATTCAGGACATTGGAGCAAGTATGGTATTCCATCACACCCCAGAAGAATAAAGGCTGAATTAAGCTGTTGGCAGGAAAGGGAGCTATCAAGGTCAAAGAGGGTCACTGGCTCTATAGGCATCTTGGAGCAGATATGGGCTGAAGGAAATCCCAAGATAAGGTTGGCTTTTTCCCCTGCTCTTTTTCCCCAGTGTCTGATTATCCACAACATAATAACATAATCTGCTATTTCATTACTGAAATATTTTTAGTAAACTGAATTTTGCCTGAACCACGAAGAGACTAGGGTTTAACTAGAGAAAGACATAAATGCAAAGTTTGGCAGGGAGTCTAGCCTCTGCCTAAATGTTAGGAATTTTCCTAATTGGAAGCTCAGAGTGGTTGTGACAACTTAAAATTTTTTGTCTAAAACAAATTCCCTAAATCCGAAAAGAAGGGAACCACATGGACTTCTGGGGCTATTATATTGCTCTCTATGCTTAAATGATCTAATTAAACAGTATGTTAGTAGGGAAAATTGATATTTAAAAGATGAGTTTTAGCAGCAGGGTCAGTCTTGAGATTTTTGAGAATACTGGGACATTTCCTTGAAGTGATCCTTCTCCTCTCTGGATTCATCTCACTGGTTCTCATGTCTGACCCAGAGTTGGCAAAGGGCTATGTATTCATTACTTCATAGATCCTCAGAACAGCTCTTTGAGGTACTTGCTATTGTTATTCCAGTTTTACAAATAAAGAAATTTAGGTTCATAAAGTTTCAGTAAGGGTTGGAGTGAAAAATTGAATCTAAGTATATCACTCTAAAGCACAACTAGATGGTTCAATGGATAGAAACACCAGGCCTGGAGTCAGGAAGACTGAAGCTCAAATCCAGCCTCAGATACTTACTAGCTTTGTGACCCTGGGCAAGTCACCTAACCCTGTTTGCCTCAGTTTCCTTTGAGGAGGGATTTGAACTTAGGTCTTTTTGATTTCAGGCTTGGAGCTCCATCCACTGCATGACTTAGCTGCCCCCCATCAGTCATTACTTTGGGGTAAATTCTACTAGACTTAAAAAAGTATGAAGTCAGAGATTGTACCCTGCTCACTTCTTGATCCAGGTGTGTTTTTTTTAACAGTAAGAATTCAATAGGTGCTTTGTAGAATAGAAGTATTAACAAATACCAATCAAACTAATGGGGTGTGGCCCAAGCTGAGGTCTTGGCCCCTTGCACCAAAGGGAATCTGGCCCCCATTTGTCTACATACCCCAGCCCCTCATCTCCCTTTGAAAGTCTTAGCCTTACCTTTTGATCTTATTCAGATGAGCCTTCGCCCCTTGCCCTAAAAAGAATCTGGCTCCTGTTTGTCTACAGGACCCCAAAACCCTTTTAAACCTTCAGGTTCCTCATGGACTCTCCTCATCTCCCTTTGAAAGCCTTGGCCCTACTGTTTGATCTCATTCAGATAGCTTCCAGTTCCTCTCATTATCTATTCCCATTGTCTATTCAATCTCTCAGACCTTCCAATCGGAATTCTCACCTATATCCTTTTCCCAGCCCCCTTCTCTGGCCACTCAAAGTTACTTCAGTGTATAAAAATTCCACCCTGGCCCCCATTCAGGGCCAGAGAATCTCTCAAGCCCAAAAGGCTGAGTCTTTCTCATGCCCACTCATCCTTACGGGTGTCACCTGGCCTATGCGATTAATCACTAATAAACTTTTCCTCTGGCTTGAAGAAGATTTGAGTTGAATTCATTCAGGCAGGGCCCAGTACCATGATTTTGGGGCTGCAGCACCCCAAAAGTCTTAGACCTCTTCAAAACTATCAAAAAATTATTTATAGAGCTAGAGAAAACAATAATAAAATTCATCTGGAAGAACAAATGGTCGAGAATATCAAGGGAATTAATGAAAAGAAATGAAAGGGAAGGTGACCTAGCCATACCAGATCTTAAATTGTATTATAAAGAAGCAATCATCAAAGCTACTTGGTACTGGCTTAGAAACAGAGTGGTGGATCAGTAGAATAGGTTAGATATGCAAGACACAACAGTTAATGACTATAGCAGTCTACTATTTGATAAATCCAAAGATTCTAGCTTCTGGGATAAGAACTCACTATTTCACCAAAAAACTGCTGGGAAAACTGGAAAATAGTATGGCAGAAACTAGGCATAGACCAACATCTTGCACTCTATGCCAAGATAAAGTCAAAATGGGTACACAATTTAGATATAAAGACAGATGCTGTAAGCAAACTGGGAGAGCAAGGAATAGTTTACCTGTCAGATCTACAGAGAAAGGAAGAATTTATAACCAAATGAAAGATGGAGATCATTATGAAATACAAAGTGGATGACTTAGATTATGTCAAATTAAAAAGTTTTGGCAGAAACAAAGCCAATACGACCAAGACTAGAAAGGAAGCAGAAAGCTGGGAAATACTTTTTACAGCTAGTGTCTCTGATAAAGGCCTCACCTCCTTTCTAAAATATATAGAGAACTGAGTTGAATTTATAAGAATACAAGTCATTCGTCAATTGGTAAATAGTCAAAGCATATGAATAGGCAGTTTTCAGAGGAAGAAATTAAATTGTCTATAGTCATATTAAAAAAAGCTCTAAATCACAATTGATTAGAGAAATGCAAATCAAAATGACTCTGAGGTACCACATCACACCTCTCAGATTGGCTAGCATGACAAAACAGGAGAATGATAAATTCTGGAGAAGATGTGGAAAGATTGGAACACTAATGCATTGTTCCTGGAGTTGTGAACTGATTCAACCATTCTGGAGAGCAATTTGGAACTATGCCCAAAGGGCTATAAAACTGTGGATACCCTATTACCCAGTGATACCACTTCTAGTTTAAAGGAAGAAGAGAACAGGGCCCAGATAGAGCCTTGGGGATACCCACAGTTAGTGGCTCAAAATTCTATAGGTTACTTAGCAAAGCTTGTTGTTTTTTGGCAGCATCAACTTCCTTCTACCTTGCAGAAAACCCAATCTCAATGCTATGAAACCCAGAATGGGGCCTGGGGAACTGAGGAAAGCCACCATCTGGATTTGCTTACTCCTCAAATGTTGTTTGTTGATTGTGAAAGCATTTGGTTTGTTTAGTTGGTGGCATTTCTATTTTCCTGTTTTTCCAGCTCCCATATATAATGAAAAGATGTAACCTGAAAATGGTTCCATTCAATAAGAAGTGGAACTTCACATATTGCTGTTTTTGCAGCAACATTATCTGACAGAATTTTGTAGAGCTCTTAGCCCAATGCTTGGTGTATATTGGGCACTCATTCCCTTCTCCTTCCCTTGCACTGTATTACATCTAGCCCAACCTACAACTGAGCAGAATTCCTTCCTTATAGTATTTCCAACATGTGGTCATTCAACCTCTAGTGAAAGACTTCTAATGATGGCAAACCTCCCTAAGCAGCTCATTCCACTTTTGAACAGACTTTATTTTTAGGAATTATCTCATTATAATAAAGCCAAAATCTAGCTTGTAGCAACTATTATCCATTAATCTTTGTTCTTCCCTCTGGCTTCCAAAACAAATTAGTGCAGAATAGTGAAGAGAACTACTCTAGGAATAAGTACATGTGGATTTAGATCTTGACTCCTCTTAGTCATGTGGTCTTAGGCAAGTAAACTCACCTCTCTCAGTTTCAGTTTCTTCATCTGTAAAATGAAGGGATTAGACTAGATGATCTTTAAAGTCCCTTTCAACTCTAACATGGTAAGATTTTATGAGTTTAATTTCATTACTTAGTTTAATTAAGGGAAAATGGGCTTGTATCAAATCAAAATTTATATCAAATCTAATCAAGAATCAAAAAGATGGACTAAGTAGTCATTGGTTTACTCTGGGATATTTGGAAGCTTTGTTACAGCTTCTATGTACAGTGGTGGAAATTGGCAAATTCATACTAAAGAAGGCACTATTGTGTAGTTGGGAGAATTTTTTGGTGAGTGACCTTGGCTTCACCATTAACTGTATAACCTTGGGTGAGTCACTTCACCTAAGTTTACTAACCTGTAAAATAAGAGAATTAATCTAGATGATTTTTCAGCTAAGATTCTGTTGCTTTTCATGACTCTTCCTATTGATTTTATTCAGAAGGCAGTCTCCAGGTTAAAGTCACTGATACCTCAGTCAAATGATGGTAGAAACAGTGAAACTTAGCAGAGAGCACCAATGGCTAAGCATCTATAGCTATAGTATTGACCCTAAAGCTCTCAGATAAAAAGGTTCTCTTGTGTTCACTTTCTATGACTCTGGAGGGTCATGATAAAGAATGAGGGGTCAGAGATCTTACAGCCATAGTACAAATTACCATATAATAATGGCAATAAAAAGGTAGAAATGCAGGGCTATGGGACAGAGAGGAGGAGACATCAAAATTATTTCCCTGAGACTCAAGAAGTTCCTTAATGATCAAATGAAGGTTTAGTTGTATTTACCATGTCATACTAACTTAGGCAGGAAAATAAAGGGCTCAGAACATTTTTGTGTTTGATGGGACCATACATTTATGTCTGTGATTGTAAAGATCACAAATCTCCTTTCCAATATCCCTGCTGA